TTCAATGAGCACTAGATTCTATATTGTTCTTTTAATGAATGTCATCAAAGTTCAATTTCAGTGTGAGTGATGATACACTATATAATTATAGCAAATGAATCCTTACATGTATAATAATACCTCTTATTTTACTGAATCAGCTATAAACTTACTTTACGAAGGCCTCTTTGTATACTAACATTCTTGCACGAAATGTTTTTCACATCAAACTGGTCTAGAATAACAAGAATTACAGCATAAGAATCAATAGTTTTCTTGTTATAAAACATGAATCTTCTCTACATATGATAACACACAGTCCAAAACTTTACAAAGAGTAAAACCAAGTTATTATACTTTGAAATAAAAATGTAAAGTCCACATCCATCACAGCAGGAGACTTTTAAAATTGATTAAAAACAGGAATTACAATGTTTATTTTTCTTGAAATATTTATAAGTTCAGATTTATATTGTTGGGTTTTATTAATCTAAATCTATAATAATAAAATACCATATACACACCTGTATGTTTTTTTATTATTTGGTATAATATATTTCATGAAAGATAAATATTTTCTTTAAAATTTCTCATTGAACTCTAAAGCTGTGACATTTTCTATTCAATGATAAAAATTGAAGACAAAAAACAAATATCAGAAAAATCTTCCACTCAGATGCATAAAGGCAAAATATATTTTTTGCTTACTATACTGAAAAAATAATCAAGGCAGCCACTAGCTTTACTAATATTCACTGTGAGAGAGTACATGCAAATTCTCATAGAACTGTAGTGTATGTGAAAATCAAAGTGACATAAGACTTGGTGGTTTTGTAAACCAAGTGTTAAGCACTAAGTTGTTATGTAGGTTTACTGTATGAGTCCACTACAAAAGTTTGGTTGACCTCTTGGTAAAATTTAGTATCACCAAACTTTCATATAACAGAAACAGTTTCTGCCTAGCATATTTGACACTGTCAGCTTTATATCAAAATATTTACCTGCACCACAAGTCTGACACAAATCTGGATCACACTCACGAACTGCTGCATAACATGGACACTGTTTAGTGTTACATTGGGCTTTACAACGACATCCAGGGTATTGGTGCTGGCCTGGCAAAGAAACAACTTGTGTTAACTTAAAAAATACTATTAAAATATTAGTTTGACAAAAACTTTAACTTTTTTGTAAGAAGAGATTGACACTAAGTGTGTAAAAACTACATAGCTGGTAAGATTGAACTTTTGGAAGTTAAAGATAAAACTCTTAAAAGCTGAATGTTTAAACACAACTATAAAAAAAAAGACAGAGTAACTTAATAAATTTGTTTTTTAAACTGAAGTTGCTTAGACTTGTACATCAAATACAGCAAAAAATTACAATTAGTTTATTGGTCTATCAACAGGAAACAAATGCTGTGTGTTAAAATGCAGACAGCAGAAATTACCAATAAAAATAAAACACTTTTCCAAATTGATTCAACTGGTTACATCCTGTTTTTATCTCACTGTATAATAACACACAAATGTTCACTATTGTACTACACCCTAACCTTTATTTTTTCAGAAACTTACACCAACTTTTGTTGTTATTTACTGAAACATATATCTTTACTTTAGTGCACATTTCAAAACAATGCCTATTGTTTTCACAGTATAAGTACTTCAGAATTCATTACAAATCTTGATACAGCTATAGTGACATTACATGTCTTTCATAATTTATACAAATCCTGTTAATTCTATAATGGCAGTACATGTGCTTCAGAATTTATTAAAAAATGTGATATCTATAGTAATTTTATATGTCCTTCATTACAAATCCTGGTATCTCTGTTGTGATATTAAGTGTCCTTCAGAATTCATTACAAGTATTGATGTATCTATAGTGTTGGTACATGTACTTCAGATTTCATTACAAGTATTGATGTCTCTATAGCACTGGTACATGTACTTCAGATTTCATTACAAGTGCTGATGTCTCTATAGTGTTGGTACATGTACTTCAGATTTCATTACAAGTATTGATGTCTTATAGTGTTGGTACATGTACTTCAGATTTTGTTAGTAGTCCTGATCTCTACAGTGATAACATATGGTACTTTGGAATTCATAACAAAACTTAATATCTCTTTAATTGCACTCCTTCACATTTCTACAAGTCTCAACATTTCTGGTGCTGCTACATGTGACTTTGCTTATGGAGGTTTTTACTCAATCATTATAATTATATGATCTAGGAAACTTAGACAAAGGGAAAAATAGTAATAACAAACCAAAGATCCAGAAACATAATTTCCTGCCAATAACCTTTTCAACACACAAGGTCCTGATGATTTCAGTGTATATACTAAATACTAAAGTTTTTCTGATTGTAGGTCTCCCAGTCCATCTTTAAGAACAAACATAAAAATATAGGTTTTATTTACAGCAATAGTGAAGAGCTTTATCCTTTTCCTAGAAAGTCCTGTTTTTAACATATTTTAATGAATACATATATATGTGTGTGTGTGTGTGGTTTAGGTTGTTTGTAAAAATATAGGTTTTTTCCCCCCAAAATAGAACTACATTCAAAACATGTTTTGTAGGTCATTTTTATAAAAAATTGTACCACTTTTTAATACAGGTTTTTAAAAGTTCACTAGGAGGCCCATGAACATTGAAACAAACAGCACGATTTCACTGAATGAAATAAAAACATATAATAGCATGAGAACAGACAGTTACAAATGCTAAAAATAACTTGAGGGTGCATTTATTTTAGTTATATTTCCTGTATTTCGATAATTAATAAAACACAGTCATCAGTCCTCATTAATGTACACTGAACATAATTTTTCAAGTCTTGTCACAGCTAATAGTACAGGCTCAACCACTAAAAACACAGTCATCAGTCCTCATTAATGTACACTAAACACAATTTTTCAAGTCTTCTCACAACTAATAGTACAGGCTCAACCACTAAATACCCATGTTTCCTCATTATAAGAAAGACCTTTTCCATACGTTTTGCCATTAAAATTTACTACTGCAATATGTATAAGTTGTCTTCTTTGCTTTATCATAAGCTAGAATGTAGAATTACTACAGACTATCACAGACCATATCAAAAACATGTTGTATTTAAACAATAATGATAGTTTAATGCTAATGTTATTAATATCACATAAATAAGACATGTAATACAATTCAAAGATACCGAAAAACTTACAATCTGATTTGCAATGACAGAATTTTCTACAAAATGTCTGAGTAATAACACAAGGACATGACTGGTCACATGGTTGACCTGGATGATCACAGGGGGTGTAGTTGTAAATGTGATTAGATGATGTGTCTTTCTTCAACTGAGTCTTCCTGCAATGCATGTACCACTGCCGATGTTTCTTCTTTTTCTTCCTAGGAGGAGTGTTGTCATGAATGTGTTCCTCAGGTGGATAGTCCGTTAATTCCTTTTGTGCAAAGGTGTAAACCTTTGGAGTACAAGCATTATAGATTTATGTATATATACATACACATATGCACAACATATTTACAGATATCATTAAACGTATGACAAATGTAACATCTCAGAGAAAGAAAGTACCTCCATTTGTTGATCACTGAAACAAACAGTATGATTACAAGTACATACACACACGCTGACTCGCCATTTCATTAGGATGCCCCCTCTAATACTGGGTTGGACTGGTTACTCTTACAAAAAGATTAGGCTCATTGTGACTTACATTTCACAAGATACTATTACTATTTTGTTCAACTGAAACCCATTTGTTAGGAGTAAGTTCTGTTATTGGTTAACAGATGTAGAGCTGGGTAATTAGTGGCATTTGATAATTGATTATTCTCACATGAGGCTTGGATAGTTAGATAGTTAAAATAGTAGTAATCAGAAACACTAATTTTTATTATTGATTATTTTTGTGAATCGTGACACTAATTGATTAAGATGAAAAATATTTAATTAATCAAAAATCATAATGGCAATATTTCCATTGCTTGGATAGTTGAAATAATCAAAACTAACAGTAATAAACACTTGTTTATATTATTTGATTAGTTTTGAGACATTAATTGATTTAATTGTAATTTTGATTAATTGATTATTTTATGTGATATTAATTGATGTAGTTGATATTCATAAGCGTTCAATTGTATTGATTAAATGAGTTAATCGCCCAGCTCTAAACAAATGCCAGAAGGATTACAGTGGCAAATAATATTTTCAAGTTCACCTCAAACATGTTTGACTGGATTAAAATTTGGTAACTGTACCGCCAAAGAAAATGTGACTAAAATCACTGTTATGACCTTTGAACTAATTTCAAACAATATGAGGATGGTGGAGTGGACTGTTACATTATCATCTTTAAAGAGCTCATATCCATAAGGGTAGAAATGATCGATATTCAGGTACATTTTAGATGTTACTCATCCTTTTAAAAGGATCAAAAGACTTAACCTCTGCTACAAGAATGTTCCCCACACCTCCAACAATGCAAGTAGGGGCAAGTACTTTATGTGATTTGTTTCTACACATTTTTAATATATCCTATATAAAAAAAGGGGAAATGTGACTTATGAGACCACATCACATGCTTCCAGTCATTCACTGTCCACAGTTTCCACTTTAAGCACCACTGATGTTATGTTTTCTGTTTACACTGTTGTTAGCTATGGTATTATTTTTTGTAATGTATAGTATGGTTGTAAGTAGTTGAAACCTTACCATTGGTGAAGATTTGGTTAACTAGGACAAAATCCAGCATCAGTCACACTTTATGAGTTTGTTCAAATTTCATCTAGTGGCAGAAATATTTTCTTTTGATCGCCACTTTTGATAGACTCTCTGACAACACAAGTCTTTGAACAGCCAGTCAAGCCAACAGCTTACTGTTACTGATATCCCAGCTAGGTATATTCCTACTATCCTGCAGACTAACCATGATGTGACCACACCTCTGCATTTATAGTGCTCAACCGATCAATTACACAAGACATTACATGATCAATTTCATATGTAAATAAAAATAAAATGCAATCAAAGTTAAGATTTTCTTAAATCGAAAATATATTTGCAATAATACTTACCTCCTCTCACACTACAGCTATTACTTGACTGCTAGAGTTTCCTTCCTTTGCTCATCTAAACATTGGTCTGATTTTTTTCTCACTTGCTCCAGTCTTTTATTCTCCACTTAATTGCCCTTGGTAATATCTGTCTTGTGACACTCTCTACATATGTCAATGCAACTTCTAGCCTGGTACTATATATAAACGCATCTCATTCAGATAATATTATCACTTTTTCGAGACTGACTGAATCCGCAGTCTCTAACACCGGCTTTTAGTGGAGCAGGAGAGTGTAAAAGAAGGTAAGTATTATTGGAAATACATTTTCGATTTACAAAAATGTTAACTTCCATAACATACTTACCTCCTCTCAACTACAGCTAGAATCCCACACTGATAAGGCGTAGGGGCTGGTGAAGGCATTATCCATACAAAATGCATAGATTGTGGGTGTGCCAGTAGAAGATTAGCACCATAGTGAGGGAATTGCACTACATTCAGAACAGGTATGCTCTTCACCTGGAACCTAGTTCATGTACTGTGGATGGAAGTTGACATTATCTGTCAATTTTACTGGCCAACCCCAACAAGGTAGCCGAGGCTCCACTGCCTGGGATTGAAATTATAGTCCCTAAATCTCACGTTGGTGGCTAGGGCATTTGGACCACAATATATATACTTGTGAGTGGATCCCAACCTGTAACTATAGAGTGATGCATTCTGAGCCGTGGGAATCACGTCGAGAAGGTAAGCAACACCGAAGTGTACAAACCCTCTCCTCAACTTGAAGAAGCCAAAAGACAACAATCCAGGCTTGGAATGATGGGATCATGTATGCGTTACTCAACCAAAGAACCAGAACTCATCCAATTTGGAATTATGAACATTCATCCTCACTCCCCAACCATGTGAGCAAGGTAAATTTAATGGGAGGACATGGAACAAGCCGTGCTCAACCAAGGACTCAGAATTGCATCACTTTGCTTTCCAAATTATGAGGAGATAATGGACCCTATTCCATGAAAAATGTACTGAAACAATATTGATCAAAAAGAATGGCCATGCTCAACCCAACTGGATAGCTGAGTGTCACATCTGAACCGGTATTAAGAGAAGTCTCTCACATAGGCTAGTGCCTCTCCTACCAACATATGGAAGAAAAAAAACATTCTGGTTCCCAGGTAGGAGGGCCTCCAAGTGGAGGAAATTCACTTGAACACTCTGGAGGAATAACTTCTGTCCACCACCCCAGTGACTGGAAATTGGATGTGGTAAGGACTCCCTAGCTCCACCAATAGAATATAGGAAGAGGGGGGGGGGAGTTAATGTGGATTGGGGAGCTCTGAGGAACAATATTTTGGAAATAGTGCAATAGGTGAACCAAGTTTCCTAAATTTTTAAAAGCAAACTGACCCTGATTTATTCAATCCAATGATCGGCAGTCCAGCATATTACAGTAATACCACCTGGTCTTATGGAACACCTCATTTCTACAGAATCAGTAGATAAAGTATATTGTGTTAATGGTTGCTAGTGTGGAATTGGTTTGATAAAAGCACACCTGCCTGAGCAACACTCGCCTCAAAGTGGGATCCTGTGAAAAAAGATGTAAGGGACCCTGGAAAGTAAAGAAGAGACAATATTAGTAATAAAGATACTCACATTTCCTTATAATCTGGAAGACATGGTTAAGATAGCTATAGGGGTAGTCTAAAACCCTCAGAGGAAGATACTGCCAGATCGTGCAAATAATATGATATAAAAGTATTGAGGGAGGTCCACATACCAGCCCACACAATGTTCTCCAATGGGCAATTCAACCATGCTGCTAAGGAAAGAGAAATGTGACAAATCTGATGAGACATGACTCATAGAAGTCTCCTATCTCAAAAAAAAAAGCCAAGAATAAGCAATATGGATCAACTTTCATACCCATCTCCACAAAGTAACCGAGGATAAATCCCAGGAAACTGAAGAACCCCAAAGAATAAAAAGACGTCTTGCATCTCTAAATGCATTAGTGCAGGCAATATAACACTTTAAGGCCCTCACAGGACATAACAAATTATCAGGAACCAATCGGTTGTAGAGATGAGAAATAGCGGTCAGATGAATCGGTGAAAAGGATTTATCCCCTTCCCTGGCTGCCAGCGTCTTAGGTAAGAAGGACCTTTCTGGGTATAGGAAGATGTAGATAGAATGGTAAAGCATACTATGCACATGCAGGGCAAACAACTCCGACCAGCGAAGTCCACGGGCTAGCAACAACAAAAAATAAATCTTAAGGGAAAGGTGGTGCATGAGGCTAAGGTCTCAAACTGATATTGAGAAAGAACATGTAATACCATCTTAGTATCCCAGTTAGTTAACTGAAATGGTTGTTTGGGCGAAGGATGTGAAATGACTTGGAAACTGGAGAGCACTGTGAGTCAACTGAGCCAAACTGAGATACGTGTTCAAAAAGGATGATATATTGTGTTGGAGTGAGGATAGATTTCTCAGCTCTAATAATAAAGCTTTCCTTGGTTGCTTCTGACAATAAAGTCTGGGTGTGATGTTCCACCAACTTACAAGATGGTGCCAGCAGTAACCAGTCCTTCACGTAATGGTGTGTGTGCACAGGCCTAGGGAATGGAGGTGATGAGAAAAAGCTCCAATGATTTGGCATAACACATATGGGTCCATGCTAGTTCAACTGGTAGAGCCCTGAACTGCAGCACTTGACCCTTGTGCGCAAAATGCAGATAGTGGCGGGATGAATCTGCTATGGGAACGATAATCAACTAGGTAACGCAAAGAATGCTCAAAATATGTCCAACAATTGTAGTGAAGAGAAACACATTAGTGAATGCTATGATGAGAAAAAGTGATATTATTATCTGAATGAAGTGCTTATATACAGTACCAGGCTAGACGGTGCACTGACGTAGGTGAAGTGTTATGAGACATGTATCACCAAGAGCAATTAAGTGGGGAATAAAAGACTCGAGCAAGTGAGAAACAATCAGACTAATGCTTAGATGGGCAAAGGAAGGAAACTCTAGCAGTCAAGTAATGTTTTGGAAATAGTTTTTCTCATGTTAACCCTTTGTAGTTCAAATAAATCAATCAAAACTTGGAACTGGGTGTGTAAATGCTTCAATAAAATGTCAAAATCTTAAAAGTTTGTAATATTCACATGAATCATAGGTTAGTAGAGTTACTCCATATGCTGGTGCTTGTGCATTTATAACTGAAACACCTACTTAGCAAACATTTTATAAAGAACAGACAGGATACCTAAGGTGCACATAAAAATCAAATTAACCAATTTCTTGTATTAAGAGTATTTTTATTATTATGTATTTTGAATAAAAAATTAGGGCTATTCATCAGAAAACTGTATCAGATCTATACTACAATTCTCAGAATCAAAAGCTGTAAACTAATAAACCTAATACTTGTAATAAAACTCATATACAACCACAAGACTACAGATGTTTTTCCCCACATTCCTTCTTGAAGTGTCCATTAAAGATTTCAAATCAGATCTGTATAAAAATAGTATTTTAGGTTTCTCTGAAGTCACTGACCAGGAAATCGTTTTTCCAATGCCAGTGACAAGAGACAAGTTTATCTGAAATGCTGGTTATATTTTATTACAGAACAGTTTTAACAATATTCAGTACACAAGGACACACAAAGCTGAAGCTTTGGGAGGCTTTTGAGAATGACAATAAAAAACAGTAAACCATAAATAATTCAATGTAAACTGTAAATTAGTGCTGACCAAATTAGAAAAGGAAGGGTAGACAATTAAAACCAGTGTTGCATGAGCCTACTTATTGGACATGAAAAATCATTTTAAAGCATGAAAATAAGGCCAAATGATTGTTGTTTTATATAATTCTGTATAACTGAACTTTTGCAGAGGTGTACACTATGAAGTGTTAGTAATACAAAACTTTTGAGTGGAAATGTTTGTATCTATAGCTGGTCAAGCAGACATGATTTAATTTACAAGAAATATCTACAAACACTTATTGGATTTCTGAATGTATAAAAGAAATGTTAATGTGCTGAATCACTGTTCAATTAGTAGATACCTAATAATTCATACACAACTAGGATAAAAGCTTTCATTTCAGGTTTATTTCATTATGAATTTTAGTAAATTCTCAATTTACTAATTTGAAAGAAAATTCCCAATGGTGGCTTACTTAAACATATAATTTCAAACTGATATAATTAGTCTGAAAGGTGAAGTTAAAATTTTATAAGAGTAAGCCACCAAGAGTAAGCAGCAAATATATATATATATATATATATATACAGCTTGATGTAATAAATAGTTGAAAAATTGTGTATTGCAACAAATAAAAGACATTTAAAAAAGTTAAACATGGTGTTTATGATGAAATTACCATAATCACCATTGTTAACCACCAACTTTAAATGCATTTTTACTGTAATATTACAACATTTAATAATTTCCTGTGATAAACATTTCAAACTTCTTATACATAGAAGTATGTTGAAAAATTGCTTAATTACATTAAATCCAAGAAATGTATGGATGACATATTTAATATTTTCTGAAGTACAAATTAACAAAAATGATATGTGAATGAAATGGGAGACGAATATCCGACAGACATTGGATATTGCACTACCTGATAAAATCCACTCCGACCGGATGTAAATTTTTGTGATGAAGCGGATAATAAGATAGTACTTCCATCAACAGTTTATCTCACAATATTAAGCAGACATGATACTAGCACATGTGATTCATACATAAAAGTTATTGCATCATCTAGCCCACTGGTGCTTTCTACTAGCTTCTAAGCACACTAGAATTTTCCTTGTAATTAAAAATCTGGATCTCTGGTAGTCTGAGCAGTTGTAATAAAGGTAATACAGGTCCGTGAACTTAAACTTCATAAAAGTAGTTTTGGTTTTAATAAACAATTTTTCATAATTCAGCTATGCAGAGTTTGAAAATAATATTCATTTTATTTCTATCACATAAGTATTTTTTACAAATCGGGAAGAAAAAAACTTAATTAGATCAAATTATCATTTTGTTCACTACAATTAAATTTTTTTTATTATTATGTTTAGTTAACAAAAATACAAACAAACTAGAAGAAAAGGGAAGAACAATGATGTCAAACGAATATACATACTCATTCATCTTGATTTTTTTGTGAAATTTACGTCTTTTAGTCTCAAGATTATGTGTTGTTGTTATTTCTTTTATTTATTGCATTATGACGTTATGTGAAAAACCTGTATGTGATGGAGAAAAATGGATATCATTTTCGGATTCAGCATACAGGAATTACTGTAGAACATGTAAAAATTTCAGCACAATAAAACCATCGCAGGCCTGTGTAATCAATATGTAGTTTAAATAAACACTATGTCCATACTTTGTATTGCCACTGATAAATAGATGGTTACAACAGCAACAGTAATGGTAAGCACAATCCAAACAACATTCTCAACAGGGGAGTCAAAGCAGTCTCAAGCTATCACATGCTACATTCAGGGCCAACAACAACTGCTTACTCATTCATAACTCTACACCCCCGTGTATATCCTTATTAAATTAAAAAGCAATTATGACAAAGTAACTGGTTTAATATTATACTACAATGAAATGGTAGCTCATGCCTGTAGTGGATTTCCAACATCTGTGGCTACACATCTACTATCCAATCAATAATTCTACGAATCAGATTGGACACGAGGAGTCGAATATCCAAAAATCTAATAATCAATCTGAACTAAAATTTGTCCTATCCTTAGGAGGTATGTTAATTGAACAAAATTATTCAGCAACAGACAAATGTACATTAATTAAAAAGGAAGCCCTCCTAATTCAAAACTTAAAACCAAAGCTGAACAACCAGTTAACAACAACAATACTTCTTCTCAAACCTATCATGCCTGAGATGGACAAAGAGTGAAAACTTTGTTGAACAATTAATTGAAAAGAGTACACATTTCTCTTTTATCTACATTCATTTGAATTTATTTTGAAAATATGAATTTGATATTTGTAAATTTTATGTATTAATTTACTTTCAACTATACATAAATATAAATTAAATTACATATACTAGTGTGTTTTGGGGAGGGGAGCAAAAAGCATACTGTTTATAGCTTTAGTAGATAAAACCTTAGTGGAACAATTTGAAGAAGTCTTTGTATTATGATGAGTTATTTTCTGAGGTAATGGTTTTTATTGTTTTATTACATGAGTGGAAATCGAAACAAAGTAAAAACCATGATAAAACACTTTGTACAATTTCTAGTATTGGAGATCCTATGACATAAATTTTATACATTAAATGCACCAGTAATATTTCTGTAAATGCTATTATAACAGTTTAAACTAAAACTAAAGAGTTACATATATTGTATAAATAAAGCTTTTATATAAAAATTATTGAAATAGTCAAGAAAGCATCCAAAATATGCAAAACTATCAAGAATATTATCTAATACTTTAAATTATATTTTTCTGACAACATACAATTAAAAATAAAAATTGTTTTTATGAATAAAAAGTGAAAATAATGTTTTGTTTTGTATTAAAAATATTTTTATTGAGTTAGCTTATAATAATGAGCTACAATGCACAAGAATATATAAACAGCAGTAACTAGGCATTTATATCAAGAACCATTAATTCAACAAGAAATTTATCTATACTGTGGGTCAGCACCTAATACCAAAAATAAATACAAATTGATTGAGGTTTATTTTGTGTCAAAACTGGTCTAAATGAAACATATTTTATGTATTACACATAATTGCTTGCTGTTTATTATTTCAGAAATTTCAGCAAAGCTGAACAAGGGCTGTCTGTGCTAGCTGTCCCTAATTTTTAGGTGAGAGTTTACAGCTAGTCAACAGGACCAACCAACAACTCTTGAGCTACTCTAATCAAATAATGAACTTGAATATCACTCTTATAGTCACACAGTGCCCCAAAGTACAAAGCATTGAGATTTACACTACTATAGCAGTAGTATTTGTATATTGTTATTGTAATGATGACAAAACATTATCTGATTGTTAGCCAGTGACTGCTAAGCTGTATTATCAAGAAGGGAAAAGTACTGTTTATAGTCTATGTGAAAGACATATTTCAACATACCTTTAAATAACATACTGATACTTACCTGTGCACAAGACTTGGACATTATCATTCGAGCAATAGCACAGTAATTATTGTAGAAAACTCGCCAAATAACACGGAACAGTGACTGTTCGGCTCCAGTCCACTCCACTTCTAAATCTGAAGGGTTCTGTGGCACTACAGGGGCGTTTCCATATCCTTCTGAAAGGTACCGTGCTTTATTATTAGTCTGAAGAGGGAGGAATGAGCTTTCTTTGGCTACCTCAGAAAGCTAAGGCACACCAGAGACAGTATTGTTAGCAGAGAAACAGAGAGGTTAGTATCAAGCACAAAGCAGATGAGTCACAATTAGAGAAGTTTAACTCACAAAGTGATGTACTACAATACTTTTCAGTCATTAAAAGAATTTCCGAATTTTCTCCATATTCACTACCTCTGTGGAAATTGGTCTGTAATGATGAAGATTTTTCTATTTTCTCCAGAAACTCTTGATATTCAAAAGAGCAAGAAGAAGTAACACCCCCTATTCCACCCATAGGAGTAAAATGAGGCCTACAGTCATCACGACTGTTAGGAGGGAAGTATTGATGGTAAAAACCTGATTCACTTGCTTCATGTGCGATTGTTATTTTTATCCTTATCAGTTGTCTGCTAAAGACTTTGAGACATCACACAGAAATTGGAAAACAGGTCTAGCAGGTTTGGAAAGACCAACTCTTCAGTTCCCTCTGTATAACATTCTAGAATGATAGTAGCATATTCACAGAACATATAGGAAAGTGTAGATTCATTATTGTAGGAGACACATGATCTTGAACAAAAAAGACAACTGTTTTCATCATTTAACCCTGAAACCTCTGAATAAGTCTGTCTTCCCAGTCTACATATATCTGGAAGAAATAAGGTAGTGTTTACAACTGTCCTACAGAGGTTGTCTAGAATCCATTTGACCATAAAATCAAACTTTGACAGGCATACAACTCAAGCATTTTGAGTGGAACAGATAGTGATGTGGATGCAAACAAACTGTAACTTACTCAGGAAAAGCCTCAGAATAACACAGTTAGTGTAATGGTTAGTAACAGAAAAGACAAGAAAGAAGGCATGAAAATACATTAGGTACAAGTAACAGAATAAATGACAAAAAAATTAAAACGTTAATTACATAGCATTCTAAAAATATCAAGTCAACAAACACAATCAAAATGATAAACTGCCCACAAGTATTAATACAGAATACACATTTTTCAAATTTATTTTGTCTTTTATTAAAGATGTATATTATTCAAAACTATTCGTGATTACATGATTTTACAAATAAACTGATATTAATCATTAGTATGGAACTAGGATACACAGTGCTTCATGGTTTTCTTCACCTATTGATTTTTGTGCTCTTCAAATAGGGCTCACGAAAATTCTTAATTTTGGTTGATGTTTCAAGATTACATAAACTACACAAAAAATTAATGTATTGTACAACACCAATACAGTTTTCACTGTTCAATATCAAATCTACCAGTGAAAATTACACATAGAACACCTTACAAATAGCTTCAATGATGAAAGTAATAGCTAACATTTCTTTCTCTTTATAATATTGTTCATATTTCATGCCAGACCACCAGTAGCCTAAAACATATTTGCATTTTAAACTGTTCATATTTCCAAGATTAAGCTCCTTACTTTAAGGTCATGCTCAAAGCATGTAAATGTGCTTCCCAAGTATTATATAATACTAAAAGAAAGATAACAGTACAGCATGTGAAGCTGATTGTGTAATAAGTTGTTTTAACACTACGATTTAATGTATACACTAGATTTCCGTAATTGCTTCATGGAAATACCAAAATTTATATCAACAAAGCACATACATTTCTAACATATGAAAAATTTTACCCAGTTGCATATACTGTTATACCCAAAAAGTATTATCAATCTTCCATGATTGCAGATAACTGATCTAACATTTACAGAAGACCCCCTCACTACTTGTATTCAGATGCAATAACAGAAAGCTTTGAACTACAGAACAAAATGTTAATTATATCACAAACAGTTATCAATAACTGTTCAAGGTAACTGTATTTTAAAAGATCAAACAAACAATAATTCAACTTAGTGCATTTGGCAACATGTTAAATGTGCCACTTATAAGAACTTGAGTTATTTAGCATAAAATTACAATATATCTTTACAGTTGAATGAATATTAATTACTTCTTTTCTAAAACCAACAAACACAAAAATGTTAATGAATCTGTCCAAGAGACATTTTATTATGTGATTTATCATAGTTATAATTGAAAATAAAATTTTCTTCATAATAAAACATTACTCTATAAATTACATTGCTACAAAAAAAAAAAAATAATTTCTTTTATATTCTACAAGTTTTGAGTTCAAAATAGCATCATTAGTATATTTGTATGTTTAAACAGGAATCAATTACAAGTTCATAATAAAGACAAGATATACCATGTAACAAATATAAATTCTACCTACTTGGCACTAAGCTTAAACAGATTTTAAGCAAATAAGCTAAGGAAATAATATAATTTCAAGATAAACTTCTTTCTTGTTTAATATGCAATCTACAAGTCACTGATAAACCTTCATTATATTAAACCTAATTATCAAAGGTATTTGTTTTATTTTCTAAATTTTACTTAATTTTCTGAGCTAATAATTCTCAAGTGATCTACAGTGCATTATCATATACTTATTCTAAAAATATATTATACAGCTAGCACTGGCTTATTATGCAACTTAAAAACTTTCACACATGAAAATTCACATTAACCCTATGTGCATGCCATGACCTATTACACAGTGCCATCCATTATGATATTATGTATTTGATGTCAGAATTCATTTTACTCTACATTGCTGATTTAGTAATAGTTCACAATGGAGGAGAGTAATACCAGATACAATATACAGGGATACAGAAAACATTTTTATATATGCATTTCACAGAATCTAGAGATTAAGCAAATGCAATATGTAAACTATACAATGGACAAAAGTATTTTGTATTCTTCACATAAACATCACCTTGCACTTTGACTTCTCAGAGCCTCAGTCAGACTGATGTTGTCAATTCCCACATATATCTTGAGTAAAAATATTTTTGTAACTCATCTGATGTTTTGCATACAACAGACTTGTACATTTTACTAAAAGCTTGTCACATTTTGTGTAGATACACATAGTAAAATTGGAGTTATACTCAATATTCCTTCTCAAATACACGGTTGATCGAATGGATGGAGCTAGAGCACATTTGGTTAAAAATATCTTTCAGAAAATCCTACCGAGTACAATTTACTAAGCAAGAATTTTATTAAAATTATTGAACACATATGAAAGTTAAACACAGAACTTGCTTACATTAGAAAGCTTTAAATGTAACAAATATTACCAGTATTTAGAAGTTTACCAGTGGATGTCACCACAAGTATAATTATTAAGATAATGTAACTTGTGTTATTGTTTATAATGCACCAAGTACAGCACATCAAGCTACCTTAAAATATCTGTCTTTAATTTTAATCTTTGATAATCCACAAAAATTCAAGATCATATAAACATATAAAAATGTTTTTTAATAAACAAAAGCAACTACTCCATAAAAACATTCATAATCAGGCATTTTTACATGTTTGGTCATGCTCACCCATCAAGGGCTAAATGACAAAAGCTTTTCTTTAGTGATTTACTAGTATAAATTTGTAATTTAAATAGTGAGATTAGATCTAAATGATACTAAATCTAACCTTTCAAGATGCAGGAGATTAATACTTAACCATCAACCATAAGTACACAACATGTTATCAAAGTCAGACTGTGTTTGTAATATTACAAAGTTCTTACATAACAGGTGAACAATGTTCAAGTGCAATTTTAGAAATTCAAACTCATAACATATTTGCTTTAGTAAAAGCTTTTGGGTTCCTAAATCGGAAAATTCAGTTGCTAAATTAAATGGTCATTTGTGACAATTCAGTTGTCACAAGTGAATTTTTAAGAAGAAGAAACCCTTCACCATCAAGTTACACACTGTGCAAAAGATCATTTGAGATATGTATTAGTGTACAACACCCATGCTTAATTTGTGATTTTATAACACATCATTCTGTTTTTTTTAAGCATCCAAAAATAAGCTTTCAATGTTTTCCTACATATCTAACAGTGACCATTACCACTCAGTCTAACTGGCCAAAGTTTTCTATGCTTGAGAATCATCTCTAAGTAAACTAAAGTACATTTTGAGCTAGACTTTATTATAGCTGTCATTTATATTAGGTTGTCAAGAAATTACTGTCGCTTTTTTAGATGAAAAAACCTGAACAACTTATATATCAAAACAAAACATTTATTAAATGAAGTAGTCTCCATTCTTATCGATGATGCTTTCCATCTTACAATCAGGTTGTTAATGCCCTGATTAAAGAAATCATTTGGCTTTGATGCAGTGAACGAAAAAAATGGCAATCTGATGGTTCCATATCTGGAGAATATGGTGGGTGGGGGGAGAACTTCCCAACCCAACTCCATAATCTTGTATTGTGTTAAACGTGCCACATGAGGACGTGCATTGTCATGGAGAAGAACACCTTTCCGATTGATGAGTGAAGGGCATTTGTGATGAAGGGCTTAATTTAAATGTTCCAGTTACTGACTATAGATCTATGTTTTGACAGTTTGCTGTGGATTGAAGAGTTAGAAGTGAATTACTCGTTTGATGTCCCACCAAATGCAAACCATCACTTTCTGCGAATGCAGTACAGGTTTTGGGGCAGAAGTGGTTTTTGTCTACAACTGAGCCATTGTTTTTGGCATTTAATATTCGCATATGGAATTCATTTTTCATCACCAGTGACAAATCTATCCAAATAGTTCACGCACATTACGTGCCAGAAGAGACGACGCAACGTTCACATGTTGGAAACGATGATCATCGGAGAGTTTGTGAGGCACCCAAACACCTTCTTTAAGGAGTTTTCCCATATCCCTTAGATATTTACATATTGTTTCATGAGAGACATGCAATTTCAGAAGTGTGTTGCCTTGGGTTAGACTCAACAAGCATCTTCAGAGCATCAATATTAATTCCAACATG